TGCGAGTGAAAACATACTGAGTTCATAACTGTAAAATCATTGTACTTTGTCTGTACTTAATGGTTTGCACATACTTTTAATTTTCTCTGAGCTTTAACTTATATTTGGAGTGCATTTGAGTTTATTGTTGGTTAACTTTTATTTATTTTAGCAAAGGTAAAATTACTTGGCTTACTTAAGGTAAATATGGGTGATTTTCTTCTTTTAAAATACGTGTCTTGTAAAATTTTAATATTTGACTGTGTATATGTTATACGTTTGCTATTTCATTGTATGAGAGGTAAAAGAGGGACAATCTTGACAGTATGGAACAATAGTATGCACATTATTCATATTTTGAGGGCAGTAATTTTACTTTTCATCCCGTCAGACTCCGTGGCCTCTCAGATTTGGAAGCCCAAATTCAGGCTTTTCACACAGAGCTCCAGAGCCTGCGTGATCTTCAGGAGACACAGAGCGGAGGAGAAACTCTCCTGCAGGAGCTGGAGACTCAGTGGAGGGAGACTCACAGAGGTTTTTCTGACCGGTGTGTTTTGTGGGAGAGATGGACACAGCTCATTTAATGTGGATATACTGTAAATACAAACAAGTAACACTTTGTTTTCTTTTCTTCTTCTGGTAGGAAAAAGCAGTGCAGCATTCTGTTGGAGAACCTGAAGAAGTTTCAGGGCTGCCGCAGTCTCCTGAGCAGCAGCATGCAGAGAGCAGAGCAGACCATCAGTGAGCAGGCATCATACCTGGGAAAAGACAACCTTCAGAAAAGCATTAACAAGGTCCTTGTCCAGTCACATCTCCAACATATCACACTGTTTTGTTCTAACCTCTCTAACGACTGATGTTTCCTCCATTTGGTTCGATGTCGAATCTTTGTCATCCTGCAGGTGCGTGAGATCAAGCAGGAGCTTTCTGGTCTTGGAGAACCCATGGAGGAGATGAGAGGTATATGCAAACAGCTGCAGACTCAGCTGAAGAAGTTTCCAGACTGCTCTGAGCCGCCCTATGAAGCCGAGGCTGAAGCACTGATGGACAACTGGCTGGACGTAAGCATTACTAAACTCTAAGAGTTTCCTCAGAATAAAGAAACCGATTACATTTTATTTAAAAAATAGAGATGAACATAATGTTCTGCACTGTAGAAAACGTTAGATATTAAGGTAAAATCCAAGTTGTTCCTTGGAGCAGCCTGAAGTTGAGTACAGGGACTGAGATACATCACGAATTGTGTCCCCTGTGCCAGGTGACAGAAAAAACTGATACTTACATGGACAACCTGGTGGTGGGACTGGAGCTGTGGGAGAAGCAGCTGATGCTTGGTGGAGAGGTGGACAGCTGGGCTGGAAGCAAACTGGCCCTGTTTGCACAGAGTCATCCCTTCTACAAAGAACAGGAAGTGCTGGACATGAGGGTGAGATTTCTGTTTAAACAGGTAAAAAATAATTCTGAAAATGTACTTGAATAGGCTTCCACTTCTTCTTTTTTTCCAGGATGAGATTAATGCCCAGGATGAGAACATTGAGCATTTCCACAAGAAGCTGATGGAGATCCAGGAGATGCTGCAGAGTCATGAGGCTCCACTGGAGCTGCAGGTCAGACCTGCTATAATATTATTGGCTATAATTATCTTTTAGCCAATATATTTGTATCTTGTATCTTTTGGTTGGTTACTTTAGTTATCGTATGACTCATATCTGTTTTTATCTTTTGGCCAACATTTTAGTTAGAATTTGGCTAATATCTGTGTTTTCCTCTGGCAAATAGCTTTAGTTGTCTTTCAGTTAATATATTTAGTTCTCTTTTTATTTACCTTTTGCTAATATCTTGTCTCTAGGCCAATGACTTTAGATATATTTTTATACATCTTTATTTGTTTTATTATTATTTTGTCTAATATAAGTGTTTTAGCTAACATTACACATTTTATGTTTGCTCTATTTCTTTTATGGCGTTTTTGTATTGACCCCTGCATGACAACATCATGTTATTAGTATATTTTATCATCTAAAAAATATATAACTTGTTCACAATCAATCATCGGATTTCCTGCATTTTTGAGGTGATGGAGACCCAGCTGAGGAAGAGGATGGAGCAGGTGAAGGAGCTCTTTACCGACTGCACTGATGTCTTTGAGGAGCTAATGGCTGTGAAGAAACACCTTGCAGAGAAGATCAAGGAGTGTCAGTCTGGTGTGGAGAACATCCAGAATTCTCTGAATAATGTTGATGCTTCAAGTCCAGAGATTGAGACCAAGATACAGGTACAGACAGAATCTAAGCTGTTGAAGGATAACAAACTCTTTTATGAGAAAAAAGTGACATTTTATGATTTTATATACTCCAAGTATCTGCTGAATAATCTGGAAGCTCAGGAGGAACAGATGATGGCCGTGTTAAAGGAGGTGGGTCTTGTATCCAGTGTGGGCAGTCCACAAGTTCTGGAGGATCTCTCTCTGGATTGCAGCAGACTAAAGGAGGCAGTGTCCCGCACAAAAGACATGATCTATTTAAAGAGAGAGGAGAGGGACAAAGGTCTGCTCAAAGTTCTCCAAGGTTTGTCCAGTATCTCCAATGTTGGGTTAATTTTTGCATTTGAAGATCATAGTCCTGAAGAAGTCCATTACTGCTACTTTCTGAACAAATCAAGAAATTGTAAAATAAGAAAACACTGTGATGTATAGTAAGTGACCCCTCGGCCTAGAAATCTGTCTGAGATCAGAAACAGATTTTATTATCTACTAAACATGAGGGGAACCTAATGCAATTACAGTGGTCCCTGTCCTATCGCGGTAGTTGTGTTCCAAGACCCACTGCGAAATGGGAAAAATCGCAAAGTAGAGATGAGATAGTTAATACATTATTTACGTATATGTTTACCCTTTACGAACCTCCCCCACACTGTTATCAACCCTCCCTACACTCTATTACCCTTTCCCACACAATATAATATATGCACAGTAGAGTTGTATAATGGAAATATAAGACATATGAACATATTAAATAAATGAAATAAACGACAATGAAAAACAATGAAAAATACATTCTACTCATAAATTAAAATTCAGTGTACATACACATGAAAAGGTAAATTTTAAAGTATGAGTGAGAAAACAGTTTAAAGGGAGAAAGAGAAAACATTTTATGGGATACTAACCATTGAAGATACGACGCTCAGAGTTGATATTCTAGGATGAAGATGATAATTTTGCTGTGCGGTCATGTATGACAATGATGATGATCGTCAAGAACATCATGATCACATGTCTTCGGTTAGTTGATCTCGCTGGAGAGCAACAGCGATGCCTTGGGCCTGGCCATGTTCATCCTGCAGCGGCTGCTGAATTTAGACAGGCCAGAATTTACAACACCTTTACAAAGAAGGTGACTACCCCCTGCTGGTGGATTTTGGAGTGCTGTTTTAATACTACTAAAGTAGAGAAGATTTCCCAACCGAAATCTCATTTACCAGTACATACTGTACATGTTTGTTTTTCTGCATTTCCCTGTATATATATGTGTTGCGAATTTTTTTTTGTTTATTTACATTCTGTTTTTTTTCCTTATTAGGCTAGAAAATTATTATTTTTCACAAAAATAATAAAAAGATTGAAAATAAGCAAACATATTTTACCATAAAATATTGCAATATAGCCAAAATGTCACAAGATCGGATTAAATAAAATCCATGACATACTGAGGATAGAAAGGAGAACAGAGATCTATAGAGATCTATATTGCCATTTTAAACAAAAATATGTTGGCAAATATAAATATAGACTCTGATAATTGTTCACAGTTCATAGGCCAAAACAGTCATGTTATACTCACACACAGAGGCCAACTGCTGCCTAAAGCAATGGTAGGGATACCTGTTGATCGGTTTTTATGTCTTTAACCAGTACAATATACCTTACAGTTTATTATTCTCTGCTTTATACCATGTATATATCATATTTTTGGTCTTTGTGTTTTTTGCAATTATTGCTCAGATGAAAGAGGGATACCTGTTGATCGGTTTTTATGTCTTTAACCAGTACAATATACCTTACAGTTTATTATTCTCTGCTTTATACCATGTATATATCATATTTTTGGTCTTTGTGTTTTTTGCAATTATTGCTCAGATGATCGGCTGTCGTTTGAAGTTTGGTTCCAGGACCTGCAGTTGTCTGTCAATGAGTGTTTTGAAAGCCCTGAGAGAAGAAGTGTTGTTGAGACATCTGTCCAAAGACTCAGTGTAAGGCGACAAACAAAATGTCTGGCGTTAATAAACACTACTAGGTGACCTCCTCATCATTTTTCTTTCTTTGCTTCAGGGTTTCCTCAAATCCAGCGATGCAGAGAAACGTTTGGACCAACTGAAGGCGCAGCTGGAGAGAGGCAGCCAGCAGATTCCTCCACAGGACCTCAGTGAGTTCAACGAGTGGCTGAAGGAACAGCAGGAGGAGGTGGCCACATTCACGTCTCACTGTGTCAACAGGCAGAAGCAAATGGAATCTATACTCAGTGACCTGGACAGGTAATACTGTGTTATATATATGTGAGTAGATATTTCACAACCTGTGAGTAGTTAAACATTATTATATTGTTGTGTGTGTGTTTTTGTGCTTTTGTAGTCTACAGAAACAGCACGACAGCTTTCATGAGTGGTTACAGACCAGAGAGAAACAGGCTGCTGTGTGTGACAAAGACAAAGACAGCCCTCTCCTAAAAGACCTTCAGGATCAAAGGTGATATTTGACTTAATGCATTAAAACCTACAATTCAGGACTTATTTATTATCTTTTGCAGATTAAATGCTTAAAGCTGAGATTTTGTCATCACTGTTTGTTCTTGTGTCCCTTGTGTCAGTGGTCGAGCTGAGGCCTTAAGAGAGCTGTTGGCATCGGTTCGCAAACAAGGTGTCAGGTCAGAGAACCTCCTGAAAGATGGTGATAATCTGCTCCAACGCTACAGGAACCTGGAGACTAGGGAGAAGGAACAGGCTCAGGTACTAAGTGCCCTCCATGAGGACTGTAACAACTTCATAACCCAAGCTGAAAACACCAGGGTTTGGATCAGAACCCTGCTGGAACCACTAAGTGCCTCAGACATAAAGATGAAAACTGCACAGGTTAGTGAAGGCAAACTAAATCCCATCACCTATAGTCTTTGAAAAGTTTTGATAATTTTTGTCCCACCCTGTGTCTCCAGACAATTTTGAGCTCCAAACCTGAGGGTGACTCAAAGATCGAGAACCTGAGGAGTCAAAGTTTGACTTTGTGTGACCACCAGGACCTGGATGAGAGCAGGAAACAGAAAATCCAGCAGTCTCTCATAGAAACAGAGGAGCAGTGGGGAGCAGCCCTGCAGACAGCTGAGGACGTTCTAAACAAGGTGAAAACACAGACTCTGTTAGACCAGGACTTGGCTGAGTTTAAAATCCAGAATGAGGAAATACAGGCCTGGATACAAGATCAAGAGATGAACCTGCAGTCAGTCACAGGTCAAATGGAAGTTGAGGAGAAACTCCAGGCTGCACAAGTGAGATCAAAATCAAAAGTCCCAATAGGATCAGTGTGTTGGTTTAGCTCATTTTTACAAAGCTTTTTTTGCTGTTTCTAGGCTGTCCTTCATTCCAAAAACGAGGAAGAATTAAAGCTCAAAGATCTAAGGACACAATGCCAGAAACTTTCTGACCACCATGCCATGGAAGACAGCTGTAGACAAGAGGTTGAGCAGGCTGTGGAACAGACTGAACAAATGTACATTAAAGTCCTGAAGGCTGCCGAAGAAACCTTGATCCAGGCAGAACATCATGCTGCCTGTCAGAGGGAGTTTGATGACTTCAGGATCCAGAATGAAACTGTCCAGTGTTGGATGAAGGGGCAAAAGCAGAGTCTGTTGTCTCTCAGTGGTCAGATGCCATTTGAGGAGAGGCTAAGGATTTCACAGGTAAGACAGGAGACTAGTTTGAGATTAAAATCTCATCTTGTGCATCAGGAGATGGAACTGGTCCATTTGCTTGTGGTAGGTTTAATAGCATATTTATGTATTTGCTAGTCTGCAGACCCTATTGACGCCTCCTTAAACAAAGTGAACAGGTGTCAATGTAAATTCAAAGATTTCTTTTAGGTCTTTGAATATCTATCTAATAACCTATAATATGAGTAGAAGTTCTGAGAACTTTCACCCAGAACATTTTAAAGTTGAGTTTCAAACAAATATTTTCAAACAAATATTTTCTCAGATTTGTCTGAGATATTTGATGGAACAGATGCATGCAAACACCCTACTGCCACATGGTATGCTACCTGCTAAAGCTTCTTTTCATCTCGGCTGCTCCCTTCAGAGGTCTACACGTTGGATCATCTGCCACCATCTTCCCCTTTTTCTTGCCTCCTACTCTTTTATATCAACGGTCTCTACTCTGTCCATGGATGTTATCTGGACCCTTCTCCTTTTGCTTCCTTCTGCCCTGGTAGGCAGGAGGAGCGGATATATTGGACATTGTTTGTCCAATATATTTATGTGTGTCCAATATATTCATGATTTCTCTATAGCGTTTGTCCACCACTTTATTTTCAAGCTGCTCAATATAAGCTACACCTCTGATCTGCTTATTTCCAGAATGCCGGAATCCAAAATATCTCTCTCTGAGATATTTTGCTGTCAAGTTGTCAATAGTGGACGACTTATCAACTTTTTACATTTTTATAAGCAAACAGGTGGAATTGTTTGTCTCCTGCCCACATAGATTTACAGTTTGACATTAGGCTTTTGTCGTCTTGACGCTGATGTGTCCGTGGACAAGTTACTTCATGTTGGTCATGATACACAGCCACTCTGGGGTCAGAGTCTGGGTCTGACCAGCGCACCTGTGAGGAATCAAAGACGGAGATTTGCATTTAACCTAAAGAATGTACCAAATCATAGAAAAATATTATCCTCTATCTATCCTCTATATGTGACAAGACCTGAAGATGGGAGCAGCTGAATGACCAGAAACAGAAGCAGGTTGGATCATGCCTATTAGACATCTCTGTGCTTCCTGTATGCTCAATCTTGTAGTCAGGATTCTGTTTATCGGGAACTAACTCAGGATCTCTGACAAACTCTTAGCTACACAAAAGACATCCATCTTTTTGTGGAAAAACTACCTCTAGAGTACTCTGGATCAGTGTTGGAGTCTACAGATGCTTCTCCTGGATGTCTACCATCCATGTCTCTTCTTTACCTCTCAGACTGTTCTAGACGCTGCCTCTGAAGGTCACTCTAAACTTGTGGACTTGATGACAAAAGGTGAGCATCTGCGCAAGCATCTAGAGGACAGCAAGAGACCTGAGGTGGAGCTGATGGTCAAGGAGACTTCACACTTGCTACAGATGCTTGTACAGGCAGCCAGACAGGCCGAGCTGCGAAGTCTGTCAACAGACTTTGACGCCCAAAGTAAAGACACTAAGTCCTGGATCAGGGACAGACAGCAGAAGATGTGGTCTCTTGGATTTCATGCAAGACCACAAGAGAAATGCCACATGACTCAGGTCTGTTTTAAGCACCAATATTTAGATGTTTAGTGAGTACTACTTTAAAGGAGTACTGTAGTTCTGGTTGTACAAGTGTTTACACGTACAGTGGGTGAAAAAATTCATTAAAAATATCAGCTTTGCTCCACTCCAATATAAAAAGACCTAATAATCAGATATAATCAGAGGGCATCTCCTCTGCACAGCCTTCTCAGGTTGAACCAAACGTGGACAAGATTCAGGTTTGGGTTGTTATCATGCAGAAATAAAGTTTCATCTGGAGCCTATTTGTGAGGTTGAAATATTACCTTGAGCCTGACTCTAGCCCAGACAAAAACTGCTGGAAAAAATGAAAGAAAGGAAAATAAAGATACAAAACCACACCTTCCCAAAGCTGCTACTAAAACACTGAAGAGCATGTCTTTGGTTGGAATGAGATTTTTTTTAAGCTTCACCTTTGCTGCTTAATTTCTGCTTACTTTCTCACATCTTGCCTAGCTTCAGCATGTAGTCTGTGAGCACTCTGGTGCTCACAGATACATCAGCACCACTTCAAAGCTAATTGTGAAGACTCTGGTGCTCACAGATACATCAGCACACAAGTCACTTTTTTTGAAAATAAACCGTTTTTTTGTTCAACACAGTGTTCTAGGGAAACAAGTACTTAAGAGTTGATGATGCACGAGAAATTAGATTCCAACAAATGCAGTTAGAATGTTTTTTCTGTAGATCATCTTGGACTCCAGACCTGAGGGTGACTGTAAGGTGAACAACTTGAGGAGACGGGGTCAGAGTCTGTGTGACCTCAAAGATGCTGATGAAAACATAAAAGAACACGTCCAAAGGACAGTCAAAGACACAGAGGAACAGTGGAAAGCGCTGCTGAGTGATGCTCTTCAGATCAAGGCTTCAGCTGAAGCTCAGGTCAACCAGGAGACTAAAACGAGAACACTGATGGTAAGAGAAGCCAGGTTTATTTCAAGATTGCTCAAAATTAAGATTATAGGCAATGCCTACCTAAAACATAAAAAAATATATTTCAGAAACGTAATGATAACAATGTTTATCAGGTAATATCTTTAATTTTTGTTTTCCTTCAAGCTGAGTGAATTTCAGAGCCTTCGGCAAGAAACTGAATGCTGGCTGGTAGACGTACAACATCGACTAATGTCACTAGTCAACTTGAGTTCAGTTGAGGACAGAGTGAATGCAGCACAGGTAAGCTTCAAGTGTGAATACAATGTTCAACAAGAACAAGTTTGTTTTATTTTTTTAGATTAATGATTGTTGATGTTATAATCTAACTAGATGTGATTCATTTTGGAATAAATGGTTTTAGATACACTGATATTCTTTATTTTCTTTTGTGTCCCTTTGTTTAACTGTTTTTTTTACGGGTTTCAATATTTACCTATTTTTTTTATCACAGACTATAATCGGAAATAAACTAAATGTAATCATTATTTTGAATCACTTGCCTTTATCTCCTGTCTAATTTTACTTGAGATTTCAATCAATCTTCAATTTATTCTAGTAATTTTCAGTATATATTATTTTTTAAATGTTTAATGTTATTTTATTATTAGTTATTTTAAAGCTATTTTTAATCCAAACGTTAACATGACATGTTATCATTAGTTCTTTTAGCTAAATTATCTTTAGGTCTCCAGTTAATTTCTAATTATTAATTATTCACTCATTATTTGTTTTTTTCTCAAACAAAAAACCTTTTACTTGTACTGCAAAAAAAAAAACAAAGTTAGGATTTATATTAAAAAAACACTCATTGAGAGAAAGCTTTTTTAGTGTTATTAAAAAAAATATCTGATCTGTTAAACTTGGAAATAATCAATAAAAAATACTTTAAAAAAACAAACAAAAAAATAAAAAAGTCTAAATTAGAATCAGCTTCTACTGCTCACAGCCATTGCACTGCAGTTTGTGACCATCTAAAGTTCGGAATACCATTAATTTCAGAGATACAAGTAAAACCTTCAAGAGAAAAAAAACAATTGACTTAAATTACAGATTTTCTGTTTCCTGCCTCACACTGTACTTAGCAGCAAAATAATCAACATAGTTACATAGCAGTTCAGAGTTTTTTTGCTTTTTCATTCTTACTTACTTCTTACTTTATCTTCTGTCCAGGACATCCAAAGCTCCAAAGCTGAAGGAGACTATAAGATTCAGGAGCTCAGGAGAAAAGGACAGACTCTGGAGTTTGTGGACATCGATGAAGACAAAAAACAGGAGGTTAACAAATTGGTGAGAGACGCAGAGGAAAAATGGGCCAGAGTCCTTCAGGAGACCAAACAGGTCCTGCAAAGAGCCGAGAAACAGCAAGCTCTGGAGGAGGAGCTGAAGGACTATGAAATGCGCAGAGAAAATACCAGAATGTGGCTGGAGGAGAAGCAGCAAAGTCTGGTTGGTTTGGAGATTCAAAGAGATCCAGAGAAGATCATTGTCGCTGCTCAGGTCAGACTGTAAATAGTTCAGATCAGTGGGATTTTTATGCCCCACAAGCTGCTTTTGCTACTTTGAAATGTCTTTGGACAAAGGCAATTGGTTTTAGCTCTTATCATTTCTATTTTTACTAACTTCAGGACATTAAGTTAGCAATTGTGTTTCACTGTCAAACTTTGATCTTTCCTCATGTCATCAGTCTGTTGTTTTTGTCTAGCTTTTGTCTAAGGTAAGAAAAATAATTGACTCTGAATAATTTCTTTAGACCATTCTTAGCTCCAAACCTGAGGGAGACTCCAGGGTGGATGAGCTGAAAAAACGCAGCCGCAGTTTGTCTGACCAGGAAGACCTGGAGGAGGAGACGAGGCTGGAGGCCGAGCAGACAAGCAGACAATCAGAGGAGCAGTGGACAATGGTCCTGCAGACGGCTGAGGGCAGCCTGAAGAGAGCTGAAGTCCAGTACTGTCTGTCCAGAGAGACAGAAGTGCTAGGTGTCCAGGCTGGAATCACCAGGACCTGGATCAAAAACCTGCAGGAGCAGGCTGAGGCCACAGGGAGGGGCTGTCGAGGCACACAGGCTGAGATCCAGGAGCGGCTCAACAAAGCACAGGTAAAAAAAAGAAAATAGTTCAATAAATCTATAACAGACAAATATTTCAATGTCATTTGCCTCCATTTGTTTCTCTTCTCAGTAAGCTATTTAAAGTGTAAGCTCCATCCATTTTCTCAAACATTGCACTAGGCTGAAAAGGTTTGGTTCAGCTGTGATTAAAGATTCTTTTAACACAGACATTAATTTAACACTATTTTATCTGTGGGATTAAATATTTGCTGCAGGTCTGAATTATTTTTGTCCTCAGAACATCTTGAGCTCTAGGTCAAATGGTGAAGCTCAAGTTCTGGAGTTGAAGAAACGGCTTCAGAGTCTTTGTGAGCAGGAGGACCTGGAGGAGGAAAAAAAAAGTAGTTATTTATTTGTACTCTGTGGAGTAAATCAGGAGGATGGTCCTTGAGGCTGCAGAGGAAACACACAGGTAGAAAGGAAACTTTTTAAACAACTTTGTCTTTCATCAAACAAAGATTATGTGCAAAAAACTATGAGGGAGAATTAAGATTTAGTTATAAACAAGCCAAATCTTTTCAAATAAAATACAGAAAATGCCAAGGCATTGGATAAGATTTCAATGTAGGCAAACGACTCTATAAAAAATCCACATACACTCACTTCTTTGCTTCCACCCTGAGGTGATTCTGATTTCTGTTTCATTTTAGAGAGTTGAAAGATGTTGTGGAGCGTCTCGTCTCCTATCAGTTAAAGCGAAGCCAGGCTGAAACCCGTCTGACACAGCTACAGACACAGACATCAGATCTTCCTCGTGCCTTTTCCTGGCCAGGTCTGGGGGAGAGGAGACAGGCAGTAGAAAAGACCCGGATCCTATTGGATCAGACAACTGCTCTAGCTCCTGACCTCTCAGAGGTGATGTCACAGGTAAAAATATTCACGGTGTCATGGTGTTGGTTTATTGCCTTCTGTCTGTCCTTAATTTTTTGATTGCATTTGAAATTAACATTTCTATCAAAGCATTGTTCTATGTTTTAACCCCTCTTCTACAGGCTGCAGAACTTTTCGAGGTAACTCAGGACCCTGACTGG